AGATTACAGTACAGCCGGCAAAACAGCAGACAAACAGCAGCATGTCATTATTGCCTTCGTGTTACTTGCTTACTTATGTATTTGCTCCTCTCTCCTCTCTATTGTAGTGCTTTGGAATTTTGTTTACCACATATCCTAAGGCAGTTGATGGTGTTGGTATTTAATATGGAGTATGCAGGCTTTTTTTAGTTTTATTATAAGATAATAATCAAAACATGATTTGATACGCACAGGGTCATCCATTAAAAGAGATGGACTTTTTTTAATATTATATATTTATTTTTTCTTTTATTTGTTTATTGTGTTTTTAAATTATTATTGAATATATTATATTATTATTGTATGTTTTATATGTTTTATGTGTTTTTATATTAATATTAAAAATATTAAATTTTTATTGAATGTTTTATATTGTTATACTCGCGAAAATAATAGTACACAAGTTTATGGTTAGATCTTTATTTTATTACTGAAAATTACAATCTTAAGACTACCTTAAAATGTATTGTGCATTGTCTAAGTCTGTCTAAGTGAATCTTACTTATATTGTCCTTATTGTCTTGAACTAATGCGTTATTTTTATTATCTATATTTACTATCTTAAATGGGCCCTTATATAAACTATCTAATTTATGTCCTACTTGTTTAACTAATACTAAATCTCTTACCGATACTTTACTACTAAGTGCATTCCTATCATATAAATTTTTACTTATTTGATTTCTGTTTTCTATTGCTTTTATCGCGCGTTTATTTGCGTTTTGTAAACGAAATTTTATTTCTTTGTCGTACGCTTCAATATTATAAACGGGATCTATTTCTAAAGTGTTAAGAAAGTCATAGATGGTGGGCGATTTACCGAAAACCAATTTATAAGGACAATACTCATGTACAATTGAAGGTGTAGTGTTATAACAATATGTAAAATATTGTAGCCACTCATCCCAATCCATTTTTTCTATGGAAATGTAGGATCTTATGTACTCGTTAAATGTCCTATGATTTCGTTCTACTGTACCTAATGATTGATGGTGGTACGCGGTTGACGTAGTATTTTCTACCTTTAATAGATTGCATATTTCATCGAAAATTTTATTTTTATACTCGGTACCCATGTCTGTAATAATTTTTTTCATAGGCCCGTAAGTCAGTATAAAGTTTTCGAATATTGCTTTTGCTATTGTTTTTGCACTTTTTTCTGCAATTGGTACCGATACCAGATATTTTGTTAAGTCACATATCATTGTGACTGCGTATGAATTACCTTTTTCCGATTTTGGAAATGGTCCAATGGTATCTATCAAAACTACATCAAAGGCAGCAGTTGGTGTATCGGTTATTATCATTTCTGTTTTTGTTTTTGTCAAAGATTTATTTCTTTGACACTTGTCACATTTTTTGACATATTTAGTGACATCTTTAGTAATGTTTTTCCAGTAATAATACTGTCTTATTTTATTCAATGTCCGCGTGATCCCTGGGTGGCCTCCCCAGATTGGATCATCATGGTATTTTTGTAATATTTTTATTTTAGTAAAGACACAGGGTGGCAGGATCGCCATGTTATACTCGCGAAAATAATAGTACACAAGTTTATGGTTAGATCTTTATTTTATTACTGAAAATTACAATCTACCTTAGACTACCTTAAAATGCATTAAAATATAAGCATTAAAATATTGTTGTTTATGGAGTAGCATGCATTCATGGGTATGTATCTAATAACATAACTTTGTTGCGCAAGCGATATTGTTGCTTGGGCGATAAGCGACATAAATATGCTAGCTAAGCACATTCCATGTTGCTGTTCATAACAAAGTATATCTTCAATGCATATAGTTTTGTGTTGCACGCATTAATTTAATAAGTGAATTAGTGAAACAAAATAAAACTTGAGATATCGACCACAAGATAATTTATTTTAATTCAAAAAAAACAATCTTTATTTATAAATTTCAATATAACTTTATTAGATTAGATTTTTAATATAATTTTTCTTAATGTAACTTTATTAATTTTTTCAATATAATTTTCTTAATTTTTTAATATAACTTTTCTTAAAATTTTCAATATAACTTTTATTAGATTTTTAACATAACAGTAGGTTTTTTATGAAAATGTTTTCTATTTTGTCATAATTTTATTTTGTATCAATTTATTATTTATTTTTAGTTCGCGAATATTTTCGTTTTTCTAGTCGTATAATATAATAAGTTTTTTATATTATTATTTTTTTAATTATTAATTTTAGTTTTTCCAGGAATGTTTATAAATATTTTTTTAATTGTTTTGAGTTCTTTGTTCTTGCGGATATGACTCGCAAGTTATACGATTTGTTTTTTTATTAGTTTGGACGACTTGGGTTTGAGAAGGCTTCAAAAAACCTCGCGACGCTCGGAGCCAATTGCTGGTTTCGGCGAGCGTCCGGGTCAGTTCCGGGACCATAGACATTCTCTAAATGTCGACGTGCCTTAGCGGCTGCTGACCGCTTCCGTAGTTGCTCTAGGATGGCTTTGTGATCATCGTCCAAATTTCGATTCTCCCGATCGGTTGATTCCTGTATCATCAGTTGAATCCTGCGAGCTTCCTCGTCGCTTATGATTCCTCCCATTCTGAGTACTTATTATATTTTTTTAAATTTTTTTCTCCTCTTTTATGAGGATACTTGATTGTTGATGGTTGGGTTCTATGCCGTCTAGGAATCCTTTTCTTCAGCTCCAGTTGGCAGCAGATAAATAATTTATTCGAAGCGGCTGATTATAGATAGTCACTTTCTTATTAAATTATCTTAATGTCTTGAAATTAGTGTTTGTGACCGTACGATTCTTTATTATTGAATTTGGCTTTTTGTGATAAAATACTTCTTGGTTACTTTTAAATTTTCACCAACTTTATAATACACTTTTATAGTTCACCAAATGTTTTATTCAAATCACTTTCGATCACTTTCCGTACAACACTTTTTTTCAATGGCCACGTTTTATTTTCTCCTTTTTTTTTGGATATTTGTTAGTTTTTAATCCACTGCAAACACCTTTGTTATCGGGTGTTATATATTGCAGGGATTTTTATTTTTTTCTTGACACACGCGAAATCTCTTTTTATTTATTCGAGATTTTTTTTCGGTGTCCCTGCTCGGGCGCCAATTAATTCATTCGAGTCCGGTTATATTTTTTTAAAAAGATATATTTATTAACGGGTAGAATTCGCTTCTAACCGTCTTAAGACCGTACAAAAGAATGAAAACTTAAACCTAACTTAAAACTAAAAGTTAAACCTTTAACGTTCTACATGTTGCAATATTTACTTTGAAAATGCTAAACCGACAAAATCCAACCAAGTGAGCGATGCTCTTGGGTTTATATTCAAATGATCTGAGCTTACAAATAAGGCTTTTTATTCAAAGCTTGCTCAGATCATAATTTAAATCGTACCTTTTTCTCTTACAAAATAATTTACGGTTTTACATTTCACCCTACAAAGTGAGAGCATGCGATAACATGCATTTTACTTATGCATATTGTGGTAAACATTATTCATAAAATATTATATTTCTCTTATGGAATTTGTGCTACTACAGTACAATGACCACACATGATTAAACGTATGACTCTCGCGTTATGTTACAAGTGCACAATCATAACGGCGTGAGTCAAAGTAAATTCAAAAGTGTAATATGGTCAAAGTCAAAACGACAAATGTGCATTCAATAAATGTCATAATTGTTTTGTTGCTTTATGCAATGACTTGGCATATTAAACAATGATGTAGGTCATGGGCACTACAAACTTAAGACACTCATCTATCAGTTTCCACTTACGCGTTTCGTCTGAGAACTACCCAGACAATAAAAATGAGAAATCCTTAAAAACGTTGTTATTATTATGTAACTGTCAAGCAACATATGTTCTAAAGAACATCTGTTCATATGGGGAAATAATATGTAGCTTCATTATAGTAACTTAAGACACTGTCATCTATCAGTTTCCACTGACGCGTTTCGTCTGAGAACTACCCAGACAATAAAAATGAGAAATCCTTAAAAATGTTATTATTACTATGTAACTGTCAAGGAACATATGTTCTAAAGAACATCTGTTCATATGGGGAAATAATATGTAACTTCATTATAGTAACTTAAGACACTGTCATCTATCAGTTTCCACTGACGCGTTTCGTCTGAGAACTACCCAGACTTTTCAGAGGGGTAAAAGACATTCCAAAAACGTCGTAATTCATTTACATCAACATAAAGGTCATACCAATTTCCTAAATGTCGAAGAGTTGTTGAAAATGCTTTTGGGCAGCTTACAGCAAGGTTTCACAGAATAAGAAAGGGCATTGACAATAAAATCGAAAACGCGAACAGCTTTATACGATCCTGCTGCGGTTTTCACAACTTTTTAAATGAAAAAAATGATATACTTCATACAAATAATTATATGTGCATCATATTTTTTCAAAATTAAATAAAGAAATAAAAAACAAAAAAGTACCAAATTTAAATTAAAAATATTTAATTAAAGATTACTTTCATAGTAAATAATTATATGTGAATTTTTTTATTTTGGTCTGTTAATTTAATAAATGTTGATGTAATCCAAACTGTGTTCCATTTTTAGAAACATGGGCAGAAAGAATTCCCCAGAGATTTTCAATGGGATTTACGTCAGGACTCAATGCTGGCCACTTCAATACGGGAATTTTTCTGTCACTAAAAAAGCATTTTGTTACCTGTGCAGTGTGAATTGATGCATTATCCTGCTGATAGGTCCAATTATTACCATATAAATTACCAGCAGATTCCACTAACTCAGAGTCCAGAAGCTCTACATACATACTGGCATTCATTTGGGTAGATATAAAGCATACAGGGATCTTTCCTTTGTAGCAGAACGCAGCCCATATCATAACAGTCCCACCACCAAAACCTCGCTTGTTGCAGAATACCCGATCCTATCGTAAATCACGCCAAAATTTTTTGCAATTGTCTTGTCCGTCTAAATCAAATTTTTTTTATCACTAAAGACAACATTGTGCCACTCATCGGTCATGTATTGGTATTTATTTGCAAATTCTAAACGGACCTTGATATGCCTCTCCAAAAGCTTTGGTTTAGGCATCATTGCGTTGTGTTTAATGAAGTGATTTTTGTGAATAATTCTACTACTTGTGATTTGAAGTGCCATATGGGCCCTTATTTCTCCGCTGCTCATCGAATCACCCACTGCTAGACGTCGAATTCGGCGCTCGCACCGGTTATCGATTTTGGTTTTGCGGCCACTACGTGGAGCTGTACCGTATTCCGCCGAGTTTTTCAGGAACCTGGAAACACAGTTCCTATGCCGATTGAGTCTAGTCGCTATTTCAGCGATCTTATAGCCGTTTTCATGCATTCCCATGATGATTCCCTGTTCGTAATCAGACAAACTAGAAGCACACGGCATTATATCTTAGCAAGATTAAATATTGTATAACAATTTAGCACAATTTTTATAAATAGTAAATTTACAGTAAAGGTAAACCAATTTCTACAAATAAACCGTTCTCCGCGACACAATATTCAAAAATGTTCAGCTAGAAGTGTTTTGCACATATAATTATTTAAAATGAAATACGCAAAGTACGATCATATTTTTAAAGTAACGGTACAGCGAAGAATAGTACAATGACAGAATTTTTGTTGCATAGCAAGCACAACATTCCAAGTAACAATTTTGCATTTTTCAAGATTCGAAAAATAATTTATAAAATTTAAAAAATCAAAAACACAATAATGTACATATAATATTTGACATACTGTATATGTTTTAAATCTGTCAAATCCATATATGATATATAAAAATTTATTTAAATTTAAATATTCTTATTAATACATATAGTAATATAATTGTTGTTATAATTATTGCTATCAATATTATAGCAGTTGCAGGGTTTGAATTGCTGTTCCTAATTGCATTGCTTGCATAATTGCTAACGCATTGCATAGGAAAATGAAATAAGAATATGCATTAGCAACAGCAAAAAACGCCAACTGGTTTCATTTTGATTGCTTGCTAATAGTCAATTTTACATTTTTGACTATTATGCGTTTGGAATATATGCAACTTGCTTGCTTATGCGTTAGCTGCTTGTGTTTTGCCATTAGCAAATGTGTATGGATTTCTTCTTTTTGTTTTCGTTTTAAGGGAATGTGTACGCATTATTTCTTTGTTGGTGCATTGAATATAATGCAAAATTGTAAGTAATGTGTGTGCGTACAATTTGTATGCAAATAATATAATTTTATCTGTAATTAGATTATGCCTAAATTTATGTTTTTTGAAATTATTAAATTTATGATTTAATAATTATAATTATAATAACATAAATGAGTAGTAATATGTATATTCAGTTTTATAGATTGTTTGATTTTTCCTGTTATATATACATATGTAAATTATTTCATTCGAGTTCGGTTATGTGTTTTAAAAAAGATAAATTTATTAATGGGTAGAATTCGCTTCTAACCCTCTTAAAACCGTACAAAAGAATGAAAACTTAAAACTAACTTAAAACTAAAAATGAAAACTTCAACGTTCTACATATTACGATATTTACTCTAAAACGCTTAGCCGACAAAATCCAACCAAGTAAGCGATGCTCTTGCTTTTATATTCAAATGATCTGAGCTTACAAATAAAGCTTTTTACTCAAAGCTTGCTCAGATCGTAATTTAAATTCTACTTGTTCTCTACATTTTCTCTTACAAAATAACTTTCTGTTTTATACTTAACCCTAGAAAGTGAGAGCATGCGATAACACCCCTCTTTCTTAAAGAGAAACGTCCCGTTTCTTTAGATGAGATAAAGTAGCTGCTCTTATGCGGTGGCTGTCTATTGTTTTTTCCTTTTTGAAGTTGCTTGCTGATTTATTTGGTGGTTGATTTTTGCAATGGTTTCATCGGGTTGTTTACGTTTGTGTGTTTTGAAGAATTTTGTTTACGTCTAGGTTTTGAAAAATTTGTTTACGTCTGGACTGTTTTATGTGTCTGCTCAGTTTATGACTGTCGTGCACGATGATGATTGTTTCCAAGGGTGTTGCTGCTGAGGTAATAAAGCGTTGCGTTGATCTTGAAATTATGTTTCGGTTTTTCAAGTTTAAATTCTTCATTATGATTTACAATATATTTTATTATCTTAAAATTTTGGATGGTTCATCTTTACATGATTATTAATTACAATTGTTTTTCGTTTAATTTAGATATGTAATATGTATTACTATTAAATCTGAGTTTTGTAAAATTTTGAATCATTTTTTCCATACTGAATAGAGCTTTAAATATTAATGAGTTGGTTGTTAATTGTTTGTTGCTGTTTTCATGAATTTTTATGTAAAACTTAATTAGTAGTTACAATCATTTGTTTTTGAAAATGTTTAGTAAGCTTATAATTTTTTTATGGTAAAGATATTTAAATATTTGACCATATATTCGGTCAGTCGTAGTTATTATATCTATTTTAAAATTTGACAAAGATTTGTTTATTAGTAAATGATAACTAGTACTATGAAAGAAATTTATAAACGGATCGTTAGGCTTCTATAAGTTATTTATTGGTTAGGCACAATATCTAAGTGGTTCGTTACTATGTTTTCTTCAAAATGACAAACTAAGATTTAAGTATTTATGTGCTATAATTGGAAGTTAAAAATTTAATAAACGTTACAGTTCTGTGAATTAAGTGAAGAAAAAGAAATATATTAATTTTTATATAATTTTAAATTAGCTTTTAAAAATACTCATTAAATAATTTCCGGAATCTCTGTCAGATTCATATTATATATATTTGTTACTAACATTAGTTAATTTAAACATTAATTAATTTAAATAATAAAAAAAAATTATTGTTTCATATCAGTACCCCCCTCTTTCTTAAGAATTGGGGCCTCGCCAATTGGTGTGTTTTTTTATATTTTATTTTCTTTTAGTATGTTAAAATAATATGTTGTTATGTCTGTTGGTTATACATTTTTCAGTTTTATTGTGTGATTGACTATAAATGATTTCTTAGTTTTATTCGTGTGGGAAGTTGTGTATTCAAGAATGCGCTTAAATTTATGGTCAAATATAAAATATATAGTATTTATTTGTATCGCATAATTATTCTAATTAAGATATTTTTATTAGTTATAATGGGATTCTTGAGAATGTAGTGTCACCAATATATGTCTTTGCTGTATTAGGTTCAGGAAGTTTTAATAATGTAATAAATAATTTGTTTTTTATATGTTTATATGTTTTCGTATATTCTATTTTATTTTATGTGTATGTTATAAATATTATTTTATATATATCGAATATTTTATGAAGTCAAATATAGATGCTATCATATGTGTAACAAAATGATAACCTTATAAACTAATTTCTTTAAAATAAATTAAAAGGATTTATTCATTGTATTGTATTTACTGCTTAATTAATTGTTATACTTAATTATTATCTTTTTTATATATATCTTTTTGTTTTTTTTTTTGTATTTTTTCTTGTTATATGAAGTCATTAGTCATAGTCATTGATCGTCAAGTTCGTATATAACTCGGTAATTTAAATAGGGAATATTTATTATTAGAAATATTGGAATTTTTAATTTATTAATTTACTCTTGGATACTTTAATTATTATAGAGACAGTTTGACGGTAGCAGAAAAGTCTTCAGTAGCTGTGGGTCTAGCTAAAATAATACATTTTCTAACTTGTTTTTATTCTGTCCATTAGGGTTTAATATATTATTGTTATGAAATCCTCCACGAAAGTTAGATATGAACATTGTTTACTCCATATAGGAGTTTCAACAATTGCTCGAATTCCCGCTTTCTTTTTATAATACAATGAAGTGGCTGATACTAAATGTATCCCCTTTTCCTCTTTATTTTAATAAAGCTACTAAGGAGCCTCATTCTTCACATGCAAAATAATATTGGAATTGATTCATGATTTATATATTGCCGATAGTTGCTTCGGCTCAGCTTTAGGGTTTTTTCCAAGGTAATATATTTATCAATGTTTATTTTAAAATTTTCATTGAATATGTTGCCGGTAATTTCTTCGGCTGGCGCCTTAGGATTTTTTTATCCCAAGGAGGTATCTTTATGTATTTTATATAACTATTTTCTTATATTGCCGGTAAATTCTTCGGCTGGCGCCTTAGGATATTCTTTATCCCAAGGTGGATACCTTTATATTTATATATATATTTCTTTTATATATTTTTATGTCGATATTTTTCCTTTTATTTTTATTTATTTTTACCTTTTTCCGGTATTGTCATCGGCTGGCTTTCCAGGCTTGTTTTGCCCCGGAATATTATTTAATTTATTTAATTTTGAGTCGTTGGGGAAAGTCGGTAAACTTCAGTCGTTGTCATGGGTTTTCGTTTAAGATCTTTATTTTTCATCATATTATTTCTTTTATATCGTATATATACTTATTTTTTGATTTTAATTTTGTTGAAATTTTTTATTAATAATAATTAGTTCAGTTATGTTATTAAAATTCTGCTTTTATTTAGATATATTTATTTTGTATATATTATAATAATATATATTATTAATTATTATATTATTTTTCTTCTTTATTTTATTATTATCAAAACAATGTTATAAAATGTTTATTGTTATTTTTAATTTCTAATTTTCTTCATAGTGGTTAATCTAAACTAAGAGATTATTATACTTGTATTATATTTGCCATTCAATATTTATTTTCAAAGTTTAATTCAATTTTGACTTCTATTAGAATTTTATTTTGGAATTTTTACATAATTTATGCAAAAATTAGTCACGTAGGGTGATATGAAATTAATATCAAATATGTGTATAACATATTTAGTAGTGTAATACATATTTTTATTTAATATTATTAAATTGTGTTCAGCTTTTCCTTTTAGGAAAATCTAATATATATATATGTTTAAATAATAACACGAATATGTTTTTAGTGGGAAATTAAAATATTTATATTACGTTTTATTTCTTTTTATATAATATAAGTGTAAACTATTATTGAAGTACCCAAGTTCATCTTTACTTGTGTAATATTACTTTTAATTTTCATACTTATTATGAGGTATAATTATAATAGCTAAATTATAGTTTATAATTGCTAAATAATAAATTTATAACTTCTATAAATTCTATACAATTTTTATAATTAATAAATCATTTGTAATGTTGTATTTTTTATAATTTTCTATCACTAAAAAGTGGATTAATTTTAAAAAATAATATTACTTCAATGAGTTGAATTTATTCATTGCTTAAAATCTATTAGATATATTTCCTCAAAACTTTAGACTTATGTATTTTTTATGTTAAGTTTTAAAAAATTTATTATAGTTTTAAACCGTTTTTCCTTATTATTAGGGAAAATCGCTACAAAATTTAATATCTATAGAAAAATGTTTATCAA